AAATGCAAAAGTTTTAAGTATAGATGTTTGTTTGTTACACTTTCACGCAAAAACTGCTGAACGATTTTGATAAAACTTTACAGTATCTAATACATATAGCTTAGGCTATATTTTGTATTAAATTTAACGCGGGTAAAACCGCGGGCGAGGGTAGTAGTTAATAAATCAATCAATATATGAAAACGGAAGTATTAATATCTAATAATATCTTGTCTGTGGTATTAGTGAAATTAATTTAAACACATTTCCAATTAATAAAATTGTGTATATATATATTCAATGTTGTTTGTAGTATTAGTAAAATGAAAACACATTTTCGTTTAATAAAATTATGTGTATATATTCATGGGGACATATGGAACGAAAAGAAGGTGGGTGAAGGGGGATGACCAAAAATGCCAATACAGGCAACGTGTTGCATCCAACGTTCGTCAGAAAAGTAATTATACGAACGTTTATAGAACGCTCCGATGGTTGTGAAAATAGTATTATTCAAATATGTACGTAGAACTCAATTTCAGCTTTGATATACATGTTTATTTTAACATACTCATATCGTTCATAGGACGTTTTTCGATTGTTAATAATGAGGACTAGAGACCTAATTGTTACTAGTTATACCACGTCAGGTTGATCTCCACATGGTCTTCTTGGGAACTGTCGTGCTTAATTCATAGCACGCGTCACTTTATAGTCATATAGTTATCCTCCATGGGGACTAATAACCCCATTGCTAGCAATATACTACATCAGGTTGACCTCCACGCGGTTTCCCCTGCAAACCATCGTGATAAATTCTTGGCGAATTTAATACGTTGGACCAACTGATCTGACTTCATGATCACCTTATCATCCTCCGCTGGTGCCCCACCAGCGTCAACCGTTAGCGCAGACGGGTGCTCAATTCCTTTTTCATCAATAAGACCCGCTCGCCTTTACAGTAAGTGAAGTAAGAAGCTTCGTGAAACGAAATCTGAAATTTAAACCCTTTCTACCCCTAAAAGTATTAAAATTACTGTGATGTAATTTATGGACATAAAAAACTACAACTAAAAAAGCATGTGGCTCTTTGAAATATATTTTACTTTAGCTTGTACAAACAGACAGAGAAAATGGGTTCTATTCCACTTCTAACATCCCTCTGACTCGGTTTTTCGCGTTGTTTTTATATGTACAGACATTCGACCTCTACAGTTTTATTATATGTATAGATTTAAGCGGATTATTTTTACTTCAAATGGCGGCCTACTTAATTATGTAACGTGATTGATATTTGATACGAAATAAAATTTTTTGTTTTGTAATTATACCGGATGAATAATTTTGCTGCTCCAAGGAAATTAGGGCATATACCTACGCTTTATAAATACGCGGTAAAACATTTTAGTTTTGTAATAATAGTCTAAGACTTAAGAGAAAACAAAATATAAGGAATAATAAATAACACTGGACAATTATTAACACAGCGCTATCTAGTCCCACGATAACCATAGAAAACACCCTGTCTGATACAAACAATCCTACTCAAGAATACAAATGTTTGCACCATGCGAGGAATCGAACCCGCGACTATCGGTAGTAAATGATAAATCGCTATTCCGCCGATGCCGGAAGAAGGAAAAGTAACCTTATCTGTTATCCGTCATAACTATACATATTTATAAATATACGTACTATATAACATATAATAGTTCTTATATAGTATGTATATTTATAAATTTTACATGGCTTGCGTGTTAATGCACAGTACAGAGAAGTAGGCAAATAGAAAATTATTTTGCATCATAAGAAATTATTTAGGGCACAACAATCGCCCAGACGTATATATAAGTCATTGTGTAAAGAGGGAATCTCAGGTTTATGCCATTTAATACGTACGCAATAAAGAATATCTATATCCCATTTCAAATTATAAGTTACGTTTTTGTTGAAAAATCGTTTCCTGTAGTCCATGTTCCGTTACATAAGCGCTACTGATATTTCGGGATGTTAATGTACTATAGAGTCACAAAGATAGGCGAATTAAATAATTTCGTATTATAATATACAAACGTACTCGTATTTCCTGTACAAAAGCATTACGAAATTATAATTTCATATAATAATACTGTCTTCCGAAAATATAACAACATAGTGTGCAGTTTGGAGGAGGTGGGTACCTACGTTGCGTTATACACAGATACCGACGTTATGTTTTCTTTATAGCGAGTAATGTGACTATTACTTAAAGACATACTGAAAGGTATTATATTATTAAGGGTTTTGGCTATTGTCAGGTGTTAAGACCTGTAGCACTGCGACCAACATAGATTGAGATCATGCTACTAGAACTACTAAAAACTATGTAAAATATATTTTGTGGTTTATTGTCAAAAAATATTTGAGTGTAATATTTTTATAAACAAGACATTTTAAACTAGTATTGGTTCCGACGGGGGGTTGAGGAGCGGAAGAGGACACAAATACAGTCTTTATTAGGGTTCATTCCCGGGAATTACCGGGAAATCCTTGGGTTCTGTTCCCGGGAAATCAAGCTCGAGAAAAGTCGAGAACTCGAGAAATCAAGTACCTATATAGAAATTAAATTGACGTTTGTTGTATTGCGTGGCGGCACAATAATACAAGATATTAAGGTTTTCTTTCATGTATATTGACGCGATATTTTAATTTTTCCATTTTGTAAGCTGAGTGACCCAAAGAAAAAACCAAGCACATGTATTACGGTTTTCGAAAAACAAATGCATGAGTGAATAGCCGTATAAATTTGAAATAGAAATTTCTAACCATAGAGGAGATATTTAAGATCAAAGTGGCCAGTACAACAAAACGCTAATTTCATATTTAAGAACCTAATATATTTCAGTATTTAAAAAAAAATGGCTTATTCATAATAGGTATGTATAATGTTTTTAAATATACCTACTCAATAAAAGTTTTATAATTAATTTTATAGTTAAATTTTATAATTAATATTTAACAAAAAATGCAGTGGTTTTCGTCTCAAATGAAACCACTGAGTTTTTTGACGTTATTGGAACAAAAAATAAACCAAACGTATAAATGTAAATTTCTCGACAACCCGAGAAGACCCGAGAAATTAACCTCGAGAATTCTCGAGACCCGAGAAATTGAAAAGCTCGAGAAATCATGAACCCTAGTCTTTATGTACTGTAACGTAAAATATATTTCAGTTTTTCTTTATGAAATTTATATCAACAAGTACACAACTTAGTTCGTTTACTGCTCACTAGATGATGCCTAGTACAAAATTCAGACGATGCTAAAGTCTAGTTTAGGAAATTTAGTTTGTCTAGTGCTCATTTGTACAAAATTTAGGTGGAGCTCTTGAGTTATTTATGCTTTTTACTAAAGAGTTAGGTATATTTTGTTCAACGCGATCTAGTAACAACTAAATTATGTGTTGATATAAATTTCCTAAACATGCAAGGTTATATAGTTAGTAAATATCGGTACATAGATCATCTTATATTTTTAATTGTGAACTAAGATGGAACTGAAACTCGCTAATGTTTATATTTTTATTATTATTGACATATTGATTTTAATTAGATACAATGACTAACCATAGTTGAGAATTTTTAGCATCTGAAACAATATAGAAAGCTGTATAGAGATATATATACAGAATATATATCTCTATAATGAGAGTACTCTTGTAATATTTTTTATATGAAAGATATCAATAAACCGCCTTCCAGGGCGGATTTTCACATGTTCGTACCCCTAGGTATTGCAATTCTCAGGCGCCTTCATAAAGAGTGCTAAAAGCATTGGTAGGCCATTGCAGTAAAATTAAAAAAAAAAAAATTTGTTTATTCCAAAATACACTACGTAACATAACCATAGCGGTAGTTCTACTGCATGATACTAGATGGTTCTGCTCTATAAGAATAATATATTTGTTATACTGATAGCATGTACCGAATAAAAAGCTATATTACTATTGAGGATTTCATTAAATTTCCACTCTATGAAACATATTCAAATTATTTTGTGACACATTTTACTCTCTTATGCACTTGCTAAAGGTTAATCCTACACTGCTAGAGTCAAGAATAATAAGCCTGTAGACATGAACGTTGTATCATGGATATCACAGGATACTGATGATATTCTTCATATGTTCCTCTATTATATAGTCTATATTGTTATTCCTAAAACTAATATATTATTGTTTCGTACTATATAAAATCACTCACAAGTCAAGCTACGTTACGAAGAGTATGTAGTGCTTAGCAAAAATAGAAGAGTAGGACAGGTACGCAGACAATTTTTTGCAAAAAAAATTTATATAAATTACAGTGTTATTATTACAATATTCTGTACCAAATTGGCAACTTAATTCAATATTTATATCTGAATAAGTTAGTTTTATATTAGATTAACAAGTGTTAGATATAAAAGTTAGTTATGTCTAAGCATCGAAACATAAAATAATAGTAAAGTCCAATGTTAAATGTTATAAAATATAAATAATTTTGAAGCCAAAGTGTAAATAAATATAGTTTTTCATGTGAAAAATTATTAATTTCATAAAAAATTTGAATTTATTCAAAAGTTTTATTTACATATAAATCTAAATTGTATCGCTCAGGAATTTTATGATTATTTCGAAATTACGTGATGCATTACATATAAAGCTAAACTGACAAGTTCTGGCTACACACTGGTAAAAAACAACGACTTTAGAATTTGAATTTCGAACATAGCGTCTTCCTTCTAGAGCCGTTGTAATGCCTGATAGACGAGTAAATAAGGAGGTTGCCAGAATATGGAATTTTGCCCTAAACTGGGGATGGTATTAGTCTAGGAAAGAAAACTGAAATTCTGAACTATTCCAAATAACATGACCTATGGAATTGTGACGGTCAAAATAAATAGAATAATTCGTCGGTTAAATAGAAAAATGTCACTATTCAAAATGTAATTTTTTTACAAGAAAATTATTTAAAGTTTATACTTTATTTAAATTATTATCTTTTCTTTAAAGTTAGATAATGATTAAGACGGCGTGGTTAATTTAATTAACTGATATAAAAGGAGGCAATTCTAGCTTCTAATTTTAAAAATGTCTTTTTTTTTATTTAATCAACGATATGTTGGGTGTAGGTCATGTTACTTATAATATGTCAGTACATCATACTTTATTTTTGGAAGAATGTTTCTGCAAAAAGAATTTGGGTCAAATTTAGGGGGAAACTGAAACGGTCATCTGGCAACACTGGTTCTCACTACCATTTCGTGAACGAAATCAATTGAATGTATATGTATGCTACCGCCTATATTGTCAAAACTTTATTCTAAAAAGAGTTCTTGTATAATTTCATAAAAAAAATATTTAAGTTAAGAGACGAGGCCCTGATGTCTCTCACGACGAAATTTATTGCAGTTCCCAAAGAGGATGTATGACGACCGTGTCTAAGCAGCATGCCTGTAATTGTATAAAAAATATAAATATAGATTTCTGTTAGGATACATCTTGTGGAAGGATCAAATATATAGAATCATATATAAATCTGTCTCAATTTATGATACCGTAAATACATTTCTAGCGTCTATAAAATCGTTCTACAGTTTCTTATTAGACACTGAACAAATTTAAGCAATAGGCAAAGACGAAATTTGAAAACAATTTCCAAACCTTCATACAAATTACATGGTGATTTTGAATGACGGGTTCAAAATGACCTTTAAAATACAAATATGATCCTATATGATTGTCCTTATCCACTAATAATCTAATTCTAAAGTAAACCCGAGACGGCCAAACATAAAAACGTACAGAATCACAAAATAATCATTTACTTTTTTCATACTCATACCATTCAGGTTCAGGGTCTGACATGTCGTTGGCTCGACTTTACTACAATTTTGAATTGAATTCTTTCTGTATATTACTGTGTGAATTGTTATACTAGTCATTTATATAAAGGCGACGCATGAATGTTTATAAAGTTTATTCAAGTGACATAAATTAATGTACATTTGAATGGATCTAAGAACTGCAATAAGATTAGGTATATAATGTTTATGGATATGAATGGTTTTATAATGAATATCAATTGTATTAATCTTGCAAATGTACAAATACAATTTAAATTGTTTAATTAAACAGTTTGACCGTTTCGGTTGTCCTTCAAAGATATATGTCATATTTTCGCCTGAACAATGTAGAAATTAAAAATTTGCTAAGTCGCTGGTGACCATCGATTTTACCGCCAAACGCACAGCTGAAATAGTTATCGCCATCACTGCTCCACAGCATTTTCTGTTTGCACCTAGTAGAACTACATATAGCATGACATTATGCAGATACAGAACAAATAACATAATATTTAAATGGAAAGAAAACGCACAGTGGCAATAAAGAGTATTTATTACAATCAGTCTTGCTTCTTGTTACATAACATGGAATATATTTTGAACACTTTATTAACAAAATCGCATAGGTGAGCACTCTAGATTCAGATAAACGTTTTGGACATCCCTGCAAACAATATATATACATTAAATCAGGATGTAGTCATACTGTATGGCAAGGTTTCATTCAAATCCATTTAGAGGTAACAAACATATATAAAACACTTTTTCATATATACCTAATATAAGCCTTCTTATAAACGTTAAATTTTAATGACTATGAAACGTTACCAGGAAGTTGCACAAAGAGACAGAATAGACAAATATTACATTTTTTGTACTAAATAATTGTATATTATTTAATAATGCTAGCTAAAAAATATTGCTTTTGCATATTCCCGAACCCTGACTATTCGAACACAAGAACTTAACAAGTACAAACATTTTGCAATATATATATTTAAAAGGTAATGTTTAATGACATCATTTAGAATAATTTCAATTACAAATGTCATATGTACAGTCAACAACAACGTAATTAACGCTTAAAACATTTGGATATTTTAAAAAAAAAATAATGGTACTAATATTTTTGGTATTCATATTAGACTGAGAGAGAAAGGGACAGAAAGATATAAAGTAAGGTATTTTATGGCAGAAAATCTTATCGGTCACTTTCACTGACGTACTTGACACATGATATATGGCACAAAAGTATTATAAAATAAACATAATAGCAAAATTTACACAAATCTAACGATCTAATATAGAATGCTACCAATAAATCATTCATATACATGGCATTATTTATAAAAATTCAATGCCACCTAGACATGAAATTCCTTTATCATCGTAACATATAAACACTGCAATGCAGTCCATACGCATATTATTTAGTGCCGTATAAAATGTTTAATATTAATTAAGTATACTGATATTGTTTCATTCATTTATATTTAAAGATTACTTCTTACATGACTAGAAGGCACAGATTTGAGGTATAACTTTATTAAGTATATTAATTAACTGTACCCAAAAAAATAGGATCAATAGTAATACATTTTCAAATATATATATTGTACTACTTATTATATTTTTTTACAAATAATTTATAACTATTCTTCAGAGGTAATTTTATTTATGTCTATTGATTGGCAGTGATTTCCCTACACCACTTAATGTATAATATCGTATTATAATATCACAGTTAGGGTTTTAATTACAACGCCAGAGCACGCTACAGCAGAAAACAATATTTTTAATGAGATCAATCTCCTTACTTATAAAAACCTTGGTACTTGATAAGGGGCTATGTATAACTCCACACGTTAGGTCGACAGAGTGAGAGACATAAGCTTTAGGACCCCTTACACCGCTATCTTCTTAATCTCAGATTTTGTGACGTGTTATTTCAATATTAATATTAAAAGACGCTTTTTTTTCTATAAACATTGATCAACTGTAACAGACACGGTGCAAAAATTACAAATTAGTGAAGATAATTTATGCATGGCCCCTAACCAGTGACTAATATGATGTTTAATTTAAAATTAATACTATACACAAAATATTTGTGATGACTAGGTAGATGTAGTTTTTATATGTTAGGCGTGGCGTTAACGTGACACAAACATACAGACATTACTTATAACGCAAAAAATTGAATAATAAAATACCCGTAGTGCAGGATTTTTCTATGCTAAACGTATGCTGAGATGCAGACGACAAGTCGAAGAGAAAAGAATTGATATAGACATTTTGGTAATGGACGCATAAATATCAGCTGCGGCTTCTATAATGCAGATAAGTAAAATAAATGTGTATTTTTTATTTTACTTATCTACATTATAGTTCATGGTTCGCCGAGTTGCTAGCAGAATTCTATGCTACGCATCAACTGGATCTAGGGCGCTCTCGTAACCATAAACTGTCAAGCTTTATTAAAATGACTGGTTTGTGATAAACTACTGTGCACTGTACTATCGACATCTGAGCATACATTTGAACATATGCAGGCCAAACACATTGCGATAAATCTCTAGTCTATTATTAATTTTATACACAACTTTATTTAATAATTATGTCAACTGTATAGCATGAAGTATATAGCAAGTAGGGAATTACCACAATGAGTGTAGTTCACATCACATTAAATTAAAATATCCTTTAAGACGCACAGCGGTTAAGTTAATCACTTAATATTTAATTACAGTAAGTGTTAATGTAAGGACAAAATTAAATTATAAAAAAGTCTTACTATAAAACTAGATAATTAATGTATACAGTACTTAATATAATGGAAGATAAACATGGAAATATAAAATTTCTTAAATATTTGACGCCAATATCTCTAATCTTAACTCTATTAACAGGTACATGTGGTGGAATTTCTGTTTTTAGGTACGAATGCCGAAGTTGCGAGCGTTGTAGCTGAACTAGTCAGCAAGCTATATAAATCATAGCCCGCTGAAGCGCACCTTTGACTAAAACTTAAATAAAAATTAAATACAAAAATTACAATTAAGCAGTGGCGAAATATATACAGATAATATAACATATTCTTCTATATTTATAATACTATATTTGTAGCACTTTGAGCATTGTCAACTTGACTGAACAGTGATGTCTATATCTAACATTCACGTACTATTTATGTTAATCACATATTATTAGTATATTTAAATCAATATTTTAGTTACAATAAATATAGGACAAAAAATTAATATGAAAGTCTGATTCAGCAAAAGTTTCAACAGAACCCGCACCGTGTTTCTTGTCAAAACTACACGAGATAGCAATATTACGAGAGTATAGAAGTCAGCTTGGGGTATTCAGGTGGCATCTTCGTTACTTGTAAATATTTTCTACCCACAAGGAATGTGGTGTGATTTTATTTGTGCGAAATACGACCTCCACATACACGTTATGTCATGGTAACATTATTTGTTTCATTCATGCCTGCCATACCTCACTCTCAGTTTCAATCTAAGATGTCCTGGTTACATGACACAGCGCAAAAGTGTTACTATTCGCCCTTGCAATAGTCGAATAATGGCGCGAAAGTCACATAGTCATGGGAAAGTCTGCTCAAAATAAGGCTAATAAAAATTGAAAACATAACTAGTCTGGTATTCTGAAATTTTTCTTTAATCTGTCACCTATGTCTAGGTATTTCTTCCTATCTTACCTTCAATAATAAAGACCATAAGTTCAGCGTTGAATATCAAGTGTCCCAACATCCTGATCTGTATGCTGTATTGTCATGTATTATATGTCACATTTAAGATATATGACTTTTTATATATAAATAGAGTCAGTAAATGTTACTGCGCAACCAGACACGTCAATTTTAATGTTTAGTAAAAGGAACCTTAATAGGTTTGCAAGATAAATTAAAAGACTAAAAAGGAATCTAAAATATGATTTTCAAATATCATCGACAGACTTTTCATACTTCTTATCATAGGGATCCTTACGAAATCTCCAAAAATGTAACTGAATGTGTAAAATTCTGATATTAACGACTGCCTCAATACCTGCATATACAACAAATTGGCCGAATATATCGCTCATTGGCATGTCAGCAATGAGAACTCCATGAGATATGATGATGTGATAAAGAAGCCTTATTGATTATGTGGGATGAATGTACCATGAGTCATAGAGGCTTTTGACAGAACCTTAAAATACTCGTCGGAAAAAATCGGAAAATATGATCCAATCATGATTTTGAGAAATTTAAGCCTATCGAACATGTGCATTGTGCAATGGGATGAAGCTGCTTTCTAAGGAATTGAAGGACAATTTAATTGTAGCGACCATTACCACCGGCACGGGCCACTGTAGCTGCGCAACTAGCTCATATACCAAGAATACCGATGATCCCAACTGATCTACCAATACCATTTAAACGGCTTCAATTTCCGGTTCAAATATCTTCTATATATTAAGGTTGTAACATAAGTGCGTTCGGTTTCATTTATTCTTTTCATTTACTACGATTTGTAGAAATTTATATAGAGTGTATATTAATTTGATACAGCTCTTTTTGCTCTATTATATATTTGGTTTTTTGGGATAATATAATTTTTCATTGTTTATGTCTCCAAAATGAACTGTCCAAGAGGCAAAAATTTGCAACCTACTTTTCTTCGCTTATCACCGCGGTTAAAAAGCTGCTGAAATCGCTCGGGACATATGCAACTTGTATGGAGATGTCATAGGTGAGCGTGCAGCACAAAAATGGTTCACAAAGTTTAAAAAGAGCGACTTTGAGCTCGAGAACAGGCTTCGCTGCGGATGAAGTGCAGAATTCAAAGTGAAATATTTGAAGGAAGACGGTCGCTAAACAACGCGTGTATTGGCCGAATATAAACACCAGTGCTATGACGATCTCCCGCCACCTTCAATCAATGAGCTTTATCCAAAAACTCAGAGCTTAACTCCCTCCCAAGCTTAACGAGTTCAAGAAAGAAAATCGCCATCAAATTGCTGTTCAACATCTAGCCCGCCATCGTGCAACACTCGGTTATAAATACCGGTCGGTTTTTGTACCGAATCGTCACTGGAGATGAGAAATGGTGTCAGTACGTCAATATAAAGCAAAGAAAAAAGTGGGTGGCTCCAGGAGAGCTCGAATGCGACGTTTTCAGAACTCACCGTACTCTTCCGACCTTGCGCCAACCCACTGCAATCTTTTCCGCTACATCTCAAATCAAATTTGGGGTGTTACTTTCGACAACGCAGAGCACCTCATAAATTGGCTTAACCACTTCTTAGACACCAGACCGGGCGAAATTTGATGAAACGAGAACAACAAATTAGTCGAGAGGTGGGAGGAAGTTCTTAATAGTTATGGGAAAACGTCATTGATTAAACTATTCTTGTAATTATTGTTTTTTGCTTAAATATACCTCTTCGAAAGAAACCGAAAGAACTCATGTTACAACCCAAATTTATTTAAATTAGTGCAAAGTCATAATTCAATGTACGACGTCCAGAGTTATGCTGTATCGCGACCTTCAATCATTAATTTACTGTCAAATAATTGAAACTAAAACCTAATACAATACAAAAATAAAAGAGAATTAAAAAATCAAAGAGAATAAAAAAGTATAAAATACTAAATTCATAATCATCGTAAAAGAACCATCGCACAGCAAATGCTCAGCGCAATGTCATATAGCATAAGGCATAAAATTAAAGCAAGTACAGTACATTTTCATGTACGTAATAACGGTATGTTTACAAAAAATATTATACCGTATGCAGTAGTGAAAATTCAGGCACTTATATCGCTATTGTTATAAGTGTCCGGACAGGACAATATAACTTTGAGCACAGTGGTAAGCCAGTTCTTCTTTTTCAACAATTTTGCAATATTTTCATCCAGCGTTTTAGTGGATTTTATCAATGTGTCCTTCTTCGCTTGATTTTGTTGGTACCTATAAAAAAAAAACGGGAGTAAATTAAATACATATAATAAGATTATGACTAATCAGTATCGGTACATAAAAGAGAAACTATTAATAGGGGACTTTAATAACGCAATAGAACCTAAAATCATGATTACAATTTTGTTTGTTTGTGGCGGAATTAACATCATCAGAAAATAAGTGACATTAGGCTGGACTGGAATCTAGGATATAGTTTTATTGGATCAACCTGAAAGCAAGGAAGATGAGCCACTGAGTCTTTAAATATAAAAAAAAAAACTCATTAATCAAACACAAAAATAACAAGAAAATACCCGTATTATTTGATTGTTATGTAATATTAGAAGGCACAATAATCGTAATATATATCATCCATTAGTTATTATAAAAAGTAAATGTGTATGTCTGAGTTTGTACTATGTAACTTCAAAGATATACTGCAAAATATAAGAAAGGTAACCAATCAACTTATGCGTTTTCAAGTCTTTGTGTAATTGTATTTTACTTAGTTTGTTTTGTTTTTAATTCTAGGGATGTCATAAAAAAATAGAAGTGTAACACATAAAATATATTATGAAACATATAAACATTCTAATTTATTATTAATTAGAGATGTACTTATTTCATATGATTAAATTTTTCTTAATTTTTTATATTTAAACTGAATTATTGTGCCTAACTAACCCATCTCGAATATCAGTCATGATAATATATACTTAGATCCATCTTATAATATTATAAATGCGAAAGCATCTCAGCTTATTACCTTTTCATGATTAATCGACTGAACGGATCGTAATGAAATTTAATATGAAGATAAATGGTACTACAAATAACATGGACAATCAATTTATTTTAAAATAAATTTAAAGGGGGTGAAATAGGGGATGAAGTCGTGGGTAACAGTTACTGCTATACAATGTAAGTGATGGAGCTCACATAACTATGTGTATTTATTATACAGGTAAATATTCAGCAAATAATCATCTAAAAGATTGAACAACAACAGACAGACAGAACAGCTACATTGTTACATACTACTAGAGATTACGACTAAAGCGGAATATTAATAAAATAAGTGAATCATACCTGAGCTTATGCAATTCACAATTCAGACATTTCTTGTATACTGGTTGCTCTGTATTTTCAAGCACAGGTGGGGGGACAGCCGCTGTAAAAAATATACAATACATATAATAGTAAATATATGCACGCTTAAAAATATACTATATTAACTAAGAAGAATATGTAAGAATTTTAAGTTAACATTATCTTATATATAAAATTCTCGTGTCAATGTTATTTACCATACTCCTGCCAAACGGCTTGATTGATTTTTATGAAATTTTGTATGTCTATTCAGTAGGTCTGAGAATCAGCTATTTATTTTTCATACCCCAAGTGGTTAAGGGATATCCACCCCTTAAATATATATTTTATTTTTTTTGCATAATATTTTATTTTCATTTTATTATATATATTATTTAGGATTGAAAAATACATATAACCCTAAATTTTCACCCCTCTAGCCTGACCCCAATTTTTTAAATGCGATTTTAATTTATATGACAAAACAACGTTTGCAGGGTCAGCTAGTAATTTATAAATAATTATTCTCATTCCTAACAATAACACATTAAACATACATCAGGTAGATTATAATAATAATAACAAGCCAGAACAATTCACACAGCGCCATCTAGTCTCAAACTATGCAGCTTGTACAATGGGTGCTAAACAACTGTTCGAAAACAGGTTGTTTTTCGTAAATACATACTATTATGTACATGCTATCACGTACATACTATCTACACAATATATATAGTAAACTCATAGCAGAATATAAACAATCATAATCATGAATACAAACGTTTGTAAAGTGCGATAAATGGAACCCAGGACCACTGGAACTTTACAACCACATAGTTAATTCTAACTAAATCAAGCCAATACCAAAGCGAATGCCAATGCCGTAGTGTCACTACTTTAAATAAATTTTACAATTGAAAACATTTATTTAAAGTAGTCTTACTACTTTAAATAAATGTTTCAATTGTGGACCTTAAGTATTAACCACCCAGTGGTCGAAAATGTATCATAATTAATTTAACATTTCAGTAATAGACGAATAATATTAAAGACAAACAATATTAATCTAATCTCAATTTGACCACAGAATTTAACAACAAACAAAGAGTATATAATATATACATATGTATGTGTGTCAAATACATGGCAGTGTGTGTAATGTTTATTTTATTGATTTAAGGTATTTTTCATGCATAAATAAATAAAAATAAACTATAAGTATGCGAAGTTTCATACTACTCCGTCCCTGCAATTTCTTAAAAAGGGGTACGTTTTTGCTCCACGTAGTAACATTATTACATTTCACTATAAATACAGTAAGTAAATATTTCTAATAATTACATTAAAAGGCTGATTTCGAATCATTAAAAGTTCATTTGAAGGGAAAAAACGTATACGCATGGAACACGTAAGTCTTATTTATTTAATATTTTTTTATACCTATAGAAGGTAGTGTTACGCCCGTTGTTTCTTCTCTAAATATTTTTACTTAATTAAATATTTCACTGGTGTTTTGTAAAGCACAACATCAATCACAAAATCGGCCATTTCAGTGTCTGTGCCATAAAGTCATACTCAAGATGTTTATATACTGTTTAAATAGATTATCTATACATCATATCGTATCATTCAGTGGTACCATGGGCATTTTATAATAGCGAAATGTCCACAGTGCTGTTCATGTATATATGCAACAGTTACCATCAGGTAGGAATGTAAACTTTTTGCCATTCATTATAAAAGATTAGGAACATTTCTTTATTTATATTTGTCTACAAAGTATCTTAAGTTGCGTTCGGGTATAAAGCAGGTAGTGCGTGTCCATCTGCCACCCAGTCCTTTCCGCCGTAAGGGATCCTTCGGGATTACACCCCAATTTGTGTTCCCCAATTTGTGTTTCGACTACCTACCTAGGGTAAAAACGTCTTTGTCTGATGATACGACCCCTATTTACCTGCTGTTCTATATACTGCCTACAGGTACCAGTTGGCGTCGCTGAGTTTTGATAACATTGTTTTCTCTAAAGATCTATATATTTTATTGATTTTCTGTCCTGAGACTTAATATAAGATTCTATTGAAAAATGTTTAATTTTTAATATTATGTGATAGAGAGACTGTAAAATATGTATGCATATATTTTTTAGTTTGTCTATGCTAACTCCATAGATCAGCTTGTGTGATTCTAAAAATAAATATAGCACATTAACTACAAATAAAAACTATCAACCTTGCAATTTGAAGTGAATATGGAAAGTTACAGAATTAGGTCACCTTTCCATATGCACTTCAAATTATGTTATTACCAATTCTCAATTCTAATGGATTAAAATTTATGACTTTGAATGAACCATTTGAGAGTTGCTGACGAGGTAGGTGTCCGGTTCACAATTACAAATACTGTATTGTTAAAACTGCTAAATGGTCCATTCATAAATAGAAAATTATATTATTGAAATGATGATTAATCAGGACCACCAAAAAAGACGATTCTGCCGGGAATCATACTCTACCCGTGATATAATCCTTACCACATCTGTTCATAGTCTTTGACTTATTGCAAGATAGACACAAAAAAAATATTAATGAGAATTGTTAATAACATAATCAAGACAGCCCAGACATATATGGCCTAGGTTTCTACATTACAACATAGGTTTGTAAAGAAACACATGCCACATGTTTCGTTATAAACATTGATGAGAGATTAAATTTAAGAACACCTACCACCGTCTGACCAATCCCTCTTCAGTGTGGATCTCATGGACGGCGCAGTGGTCTGGTAGACATCTTGTGGCAACTTTGGATTTACCACGCTCGTTTTGGGAACGCTTATGGTGGGAACCGTAGGAATGCCACCACTGAAATAATTTATAATAATGTATAATTTGCTTACCACGGAATGGTGTATACGTAACATGACCACAAGTCCCGTTTTGAATGGGACTGTCCCGTCTTTCGTTTCTTGTGGCCTGTCCTGGTGGCCCCGAATAGCATCTGGGGGCGCAAAATAATCTCATTTTCAAAAAAAAGCGCGATTGTGACCGTACCTACCGTTTACCATTACCTGATATGAAAGAGACCCATGTCCATCCTCATCGGATTTAGTAATTACATTAAATGTAAGAAAACAAAAAAAGTCAATATTTTATAAAGGTTAAATAAACATTAAGAAAGAAGTGTGTTTTCCCCCTTCCTGCTGATTCTATTATCCACCATTGATAACCTGATAGCATATAATGATAGTCTAGGTGGTAAAATTTCATTGCTATCTATTAGAAAAAACATATTACACTTGGACTTCAAAGTCTCCACAAGAGAAGCATTATGATGATATAAAATGTACCAAGAGACATCATCTTTAGTTTCATAATATGTGTCATATATGTATTTCCTTCTCTATTAAATATATTTCCCAATCTTTATTATTACATTAAGTATATATATCAACATAATTACCCAGCTTGCATTTCCGTTGGTGGGCTAGGATATACTGGATGCATTACTTCACGTGAAGGGCCTGCAGCAAAATTGATTAATATAATTTGTGATAATAATCATTAGCATAACATAACATTAGTTTCTAATTAAGATAAATTAACAAATGAAAAAACATTAACATGAAATGGTGGATTTAACTAGTAATGTAAAAATGGTCATATTCTTCTAGAAATTAATAATTAACATTCTTTTCTGCAGATATATTTTAAAAAATGGTATATTTGGTAATGGATTGACTTTTATTTTTTGTAAAAAAAAAACCCACACTAAGATTAATATAGAAAACTGAATGAATCTATTAGTAAATGAATACCAGTTATGAAGTTATATAATACTTAAATCCACAATGGATCATATACAGAAACAACAGAATAATTGGTGTACATTTAAAATAAACTTGAAGACTGTAAATTTAAAATAAATAAATAATTATAAATATTTCAGAGGAATTGAGGAGAACCTCCTAATTGAAGTGCAATATCATTTTGTAATAATAATGAAATTTAATCAATGTGAGTCTGTGAAGATATAAAATTTTGTATAAATATATAAAAATGTAAGTGCTTTCAACATATATTTTATAAATACCAGAGAAAATAAGAAAGGAAGAGAAAAGACCTACAAAGGCTTACCTTCAGGAAGTGAGTGTGGTCGAATGACATTTCCCTCTTTCAAATGGCTCAATGTATGTGGTGGCAAATATCCCGTTCTAAAAAAACTTTCCTTTTCAAAAGTAGTAGCATGTACGAAGAAGCACATTGCTCGTTTACATTTTCCATTAGCATAATCACGACAAAACTTGTATACACCTTTTAGTTGAGCCAAATCCAACACATGCGCATAAATGCAGGTTTCTCCTCTCTTGCATGTACCACGAATGAAATCCTTGCACATTGTTTTTTTAGGTTTTTCTGCGGACTCAAACTCAATAGAATATTCTCCTGTCTGTTCCATATTTGGTTTTTTTTCTGTGCTAACTTCATACGTATCATCCACAACCTCCGTCTTAAGTTTAAAATTCAAAGGATTGTCTGGTGGTGGAGAATTTGGTGGTAGTGGTGGTTGCACTGTCATTTTTACCTTACTGTCGTTTTCCAATATTTTATTTGACATAGACGTAGACGCAGACCCTGACGGTACACTAGACGTCGACGCTACCTTATCTTCTTCCTCAAACTTAGATTTTAAATACTTCTTCATGTGTTTAAAATTAGGCGAAGGCTTAAAATTGATTGAGTTAGCACCTCCAGGTAACATTTCTGAACCTGATTGAATAAAATTAAACACAGTATAAATAATAATCTCAATTTACACAGCGCCATCTAGACCGAAGTTAGTAAAGCTTGTGTTATGGGTACTATATAACTGATACAAATACATTGATACATTTTTTTCATAAATACATACATATTATACATAGAAAATACCCAGACCGATACAAACAATCATACTCAGGAATACAAATGTTTGTGCCGTGTGAGGAATCAAACCCACTATCATTGGAAGTAAGGAGGTGTGCTAAACCACTCAACCACAGAGGTCGTCAATATATAATAATTTAATAAATGGAAATACCTTATAATTATAAAGACTAAATATATTTGTACTCAATAATTTATTTTAAGTATTATATTAGTGGAGAGATAAAATATATAATTAAAAGATTATAAAGGAGTCACCATCCAACAATGAAGTCAGACAGAATTCTTTTGGATAAATTTTAAAAAATGTAAGTACCACATTTTTGATGGTACATTTAAGGAATTATTGTACAATTATGCACTAATATATGGTAACAAAAATATACAAATAACCATGTGATGATGCAATGCACAATACTATAGAGCAAGAGCCCACAATGCCAGACATTTATTTATTTATATACACACTATCATTACAGGCATATGCCCAATACAACAGTGCATCCAACATTACAACACCAGTTTGGTAACATAGCTTATAAAATACAATGCGGTCCTTGTGAAATCACACAGACTACATACAAATAAATCTGTTCCCTCTTCAGACATATGTCTTAGTAGTAAGTGTGAAAGTTCTTGTATGTGTGTCCCCAACAAAAGTAAGGACAATCCCCATGCAACCTAGGCCCTGGTTCCTTTGGCAGGTAACAGGTAACAAAGGTGTGAAAATCTTCACATCAAATTTGTTATTTTAAGAAACTCCATTTTTTTATATATTTATCGTAGCAGTGTTATAACTTGTAATACTGATACGAACAATGTGTGAAATTTTTTTATTTCATATACTTATAATAAATTTGAGATTAAATTGTATTCACCTTTCTTACCTAACAAACTGTCTGGCAATTTAGGAAACACAGTTTAATAGTTCTATATATATACTTCAGCTTTCATAAAATAATGTAAGTTTACTTGTGTTGGGGACACAAATATAAGGCCATCATGGGCTCATAGGCTACTATTTAAATGCACTTTCAAATCACAATCTACACAAAACCAAATGAGGTTCCATATGAATAATTTAGATTGTGAATACTAGGCATATCCTAAACACTGTTAATTTCTAAAATATAGAACGAAGATATAGCACAGAGAGAGAAACACTAAAGTTATTTATTACCTTTTAAAATCCTTTGAAAATGGAAAAGATATTTAAGCAACGCCTTTTGTCTTTGGATTAACTAGAGTTTTTAAAGGTACTTTAAAATTTTTGCTATATAGATGCTTTCAAATAATTCAAAAAAATAAGTGAGCATTAGCTTTATACGCCATGCTAACAGTATTTATTAATATTATAAAGTAAACAGATTGAAATAAAGTCTTTAGAAATATTTACATAAAACATACGTACTTGCTCCAGATGACATGCTATCTTTTGCCCAAAGAATTGCAGAAAGGGTTTCTTGTTACTCCTAACTGATCCTGATACAAAGTGTCGTCCTTATAATTGTCTAACATAACTGGAAAGCCACAAACTTATTTATGAAGTGGCAAAAATTGGAACTAAGGCCCACATATTGAAATGTTATTTAATAGTCAGTTGCAGTTTCGCTTAAGTACTCAATGTTGTCATCATATAGTATACATTTTACCCATTATGCTACAGTTGAAATAAAATTTCATTACTATATTCAATTTATAATCAACAAATACAGTACATTATATAATGCTACTGTATTTTTTAAGATTCTCAATATTAGAAATGTAAATAAATCTAGATCTATACTGTGTATCTAGCACAGGGTAGCATTCTATTACCCTAATATATAATCAATATTTATATAATGACAACACCACTCTGCTATTAGCGCCTCTTCGATTTACAAATAAGTTGGTAACACAGCATGTTCATAAAATGGCGCCGACTAGTTTTTTTGCAAGGGTTGCCATTGTATACAGCAGCGTTAAAATGGTTATTTTTGGTAACGAATAGAAAATTTTATTTTTTGCCACATTGTTAGGCACTAACCTCGCTGATGGAGAAACATCGTGAATCTCAATTTACGATGTTTCTCCAAGAGAAATCAGAATTCATAGCTGAGAGTATAGTTTTATCGAATTAGTGTATACAAAAGTAAAACCGAGCGGAACATCATAATATGTGGTGAATTTACTTACACCGCGCAGCAATACTGTTGTCTAGATACGATTTGTTATAGGCAAAAAACAGCTTTGTTATTCGGGCTAGTTCTCTCTTCCTTTGTAATTGGGTTTTAGCGGCTACGCTAGTATCTCCATATGTTATTTATTTTTGAGGATTAATAAAGTTTATATATATAAATTTAATTATTATAAATATATCCAACTAAATACTTCAAATGACTATTCAATTTTCTAGAGAAATTGTTACAAATGAACGCTGCTTATTTATATATTTTATTTACACTTACTTTACGAATTTATACTTACTGTTTATGGTATTTCGTACATAATAAATAAAGATTTCGAGATAACTAACAAATAATACCTATAAATACTCGTAGGTATCCGTATTAAATATAAATATATTATATACCTAGGATTTTATAATTAGTTAGTAAAATATCATGAGCGTTATTTGTTTCCACAAATACCAGTTTTTTAATGGATGATAATGGTGCACCAGCATGCGGGTTTATGTTGGCGAGGCATCATTAGCGGATGATACGATAAGGTCAGTTAGTCCCATGGTTTCCAGGAGGAACCATATGTCCCTATAAAATATTTTACTTCGAATGTTTTTATAAAATAAGTTTGTACAAGTTTTGTACCTATGGTAGTGGAACAAAATACGGGGTCATCATCTGATTTTCCTTATCTTATCCGCATTTGGGATAGGCGTCATGTATAGATTAATGAAAAAGTTAGAAAAAAAAGGAAACGGTATAAAACTTATTACAGAAAAAACAAATAGCAAAAAGAAAACAGAAAATAATGGAAAAAAAATATTCTTTTTCCTTCATTCCATTTTTTTTAACAAACTCGAATATATTTCATTTAAAAATAGATTTTGCAAATTTAGAACTAAGGCTTGTGAAGTCTGTCCATGAGCCCTTCACTTGTGATCAAGAGCGCGCCCTTTTGAACGCGGGAAAGCTTGCGTGCCATTCAGGATTTTATCTATTTTTTGTGTTGAATTTTTCGCTTGTGATTATGAATTTAATTTTTTTAAAGTGTATGTAATTACCTATACTGTATGTAGTACCTATACTGTTTTAAATTAGACGCGATCATTATTTAGACGTGCAATTAAGAAAAATCATAGGATCTTACGTCTTATTTATTTTGATTGATTCTCAATAATCAAAACAAATTTTATATGAGTATAAATATAGGATTTATAATATAAAATATAAAACTTGATAAGATTCCGTGATTTTATCGTAATTATATGTGTATAATTGCCCTATAGCTTTCAGATAATTAAGGTAAACCGTAAAAGGTAGTCTGAGAAAGTCTCGTCTATAATATTTCAACCGTCGAGTTGTTTGCTTTGTATTGTATATTCGATCGTAGGTTTGGTTAACAAAGAGTAAAGTATACCATGCAGTGAAATGACAAAATAAGGGGCATGTCATCTTAGTCCTTTGGAATGGCGACGGCGACAATATGATACTAGGAATACACCCGTTAGGTACCGACATCGTTTAATCTCGGTTTATTTGTATTAGTACATAGTAGTACATATTATGTTATCTGTGGTAGTACGTACGTAGTAGGTAATAGATTTTGATAATATTTTAAAGTAATATAGCGTATACCTATACATAATTATGACATGTTGGTTATAACTTATAACTTTAAAAGATATAGCTATATAGGTTATATAGGTATATTAATTATTATTAATAATTTATTGATATGCACAAACAGTTACTCATTGTCATATGACTTAAGTCAATTTTGTTGCATTATTTTTTAGCAAATGCAAAGCAAGCAAATACCAGCGTATTTATGCTTTCAAATATATTTGACTAAATACAATAATAATATCTTGTACTGTACATGTACAGACTCTTCACTACTCTTCGGTGTAAGGGTTGAAAATAATAATGCCAGTTACTTTTTCCACTTATATTACTTTTATATTCCTATATAATTTAATTTAAATCATTTAATTTAATCTACACAATTACTGATAAAATCACATCAATTTATATACGTAGTGTAGTAATAGACACTTGAACTACATTACAGATATTAATCTATATATATAAATAAAATTATAGTGCCTGTTTGTAATATTGAAATAACCGTTTTGTACTACATGCATATATAAATATAAATACGGTACATATACCAAATTAACATTTTTAACAATTGTTGTCTGTCTGTTTATCGGTCTGTTTGTTCCGGCTAATCTCTGAAAGGGATGGACTGATTTTGACGAACTTTTTTTGGCAAGTAGCTGATTTAATAAGGAGTGACTTAGGCTACTTTTATTTTAGAAAAATAAAGTTAAATTCCACGCGGACGAAGTCGCGACTACAGCCAGTATAATAATCAAATTTAAAAGTAATAAACGAGACAAAACGGTCTATAACTCAGAGGGGGGCAGTGAGTCCACACTCTCTGCTATTCTGTTATAGCCTTTATCAGTAAATTAATACAATCGACGATGACGCACCTAAGCTCTCAGCTATTACTAACAAAGTAAACATAAAAATTGACAATAAATTAATAAGATTACATACATAGATAAAATAGTACTTTTTATAGTATCTACAGTGAATGGGAATACTATTCTATTATGATAATGATTTAAACAATAAAATATACACATAATTTTATGGTAAATAAAGGTATTTCCTCTCACGATATTTCGGCTAGATTGCACTAGCCGTGGTCTGCGCGCGACCCGTTTAACTACATATATTATCTATACATATCAATTGGAGTGTCTGTTTGTAATATTGGAATAACCGTTTTTTACATGCATATGAATATAAATACTGTACATACACCAAAATAACATTATTTACAATTTATGTCTGACTGTCTGTTTGTTCCGGCCAATCTCTGAAATGGCTGAACCGATTTTGACGGGACTTTTATTGGCAGTTAGCTGATGTAATAAGGAGTAATTTAGCCTAAGTTACTCCTTATTTTAACTTTTATTTTAGAAAATTAAAGTTAAATTCCACGCTGACGAAGTCGCGGGAATAGCTAGTTGGAAATAAAATTGGTACTATAGTTTTTGCGTGACAGAGTAATAAATAAATATCCATTCACTTGTACTTCAGTTAGTTTTGTTTCCTAACCCGACATTTCTTAAAAAAATATTATAAATATATTTAATTTTACTAAATATAACAATTATGTAAAAATCAAATGATGGTAACGAATATAGCACTTTTACTGTTTTCCATAACATCTTGTACTGTACATGTACAGTAAATCGATTACAAATAAATAAATTATTATTAACTCTTCAGTATAAAGGTTGTAAATAAATAAATAATAAAAAAAAATAATGATAGTTACATTTTCCAGTTACCTATATTACTTCTATATTCCTATACGATTCAATCATCTAATCTCTACAACAATTACTGATAAAATCACATCAATTATATATATATAGTGTAATAATAGACACTTGTACTACATTATAGATAATAATCGTAAATAAGCATGAATTATGAACAGAAATTCTGTGAAGTTCCATATATATAATATTGTTATATAGAATGTTACCAACTTATCTGCATTCTTTTTATAGTTGTAGTATAGTATATGCAGAGTGTAAGAAATTCGTGTGCCTAATATAATTTATGGTATTAAAAAAAAACATCCTTAATAAAATTAAATTATACTTTATGTAATTATCCTTTAAAAGAATATAAATATGTCCCATAGCTATTGCTTATCTAACCCACTTTAAAGAGACATACTTTTTAATAATAATAATAATATCTCAGGACAATTCATACAGCGCCGTCTAGTCCCAAGCTAAGCAGAGCTTGTGTTATGGGTACTAGACAACTGATATAAATACATGGATACATTTTTTTTGTAAATAAATACATATTATACATAGAAAACACCCAGACCGATACAAACTATCATACTCATGAATACCAATGTTTGTACGGTGCGAGGAATCGAACCCACGACCATAAAGCGGTGTGCTAAACCGTGAAGAATTTTTGTTTTATTTTTATTGTATTACATAATTTAATTACATAGAGACGAACAATTCTTTTATTATCATTATGATAATATCGTTATAACCATTTATATAATTTAAAATCTTATATACCTACTATAAACCTAAATAATCAGAAATTGATTCATTCTTTCGACTTCGCACCCTTCGACGTAGATACTTGATTGGGCCGATGTGCTTTCGATGACAAACCGCATGCTGTGATAAGATTGTTTCGCCGAGCTGGAACTGTTGACTGCATCAACAGGCGCTGAAAGTAAAGTGTTGTATATAAGTGGTAGAATGGAATGGTAATAAAGGAATTACTTACTGACGATAACTTAGTTTGGCTATGACCGCTTTAAAGTATAAAATAGGCTACTCGCACTGTTACTCGTAATTTGACAGCAAAGAAAATACCATAATCCATCTCGGATTGCTTTAATCTACTCGCTCTATACAACGTACATTGTATATTTAATTGGTGACAATGTCCAGTGGCGGGGCACGATTCTCAGCCCTTCTCTTCTAGTTATTCCCCGCAACCCTTAGGAATGTTATCACTCCACATATCTGCGCGGGTTCAGCTTATATATGGGTAGTATATACCTTGTTAAAAAAGTGGTGTTACAATAATGTTAATACAATTAGGACGAAACAAAAACTCACCTCTGTTAGCACGTGACACAGCCGTATGGCTCGATTCCCAGATGTATTCGTTTGTTTCTTTGATGAAGTACTTGTAGTAAATCTGGCAATACACGCCTCACATCTATGCGGATGTGCGTGGTGCCAGTGTGAGTAGCCATGTGAGATGTTACCTGCCCTGGAAATTAAATTATAATATAAATTAATTCTTTCACTAAAAATATGTAATATAAATTCATATTCAAATAAACTTACGTAATGAACAAAATAGTCATATCATTAGTACAGCGCCAACAAAAGTTTGTCATATACTAGTAATTAGATGTAAGTTTGCTTCTGCTTAACGTCAACCCTCGTATGGAATTACTTAATTGTGATTCGTGTGACATCACCAGTATACAATCATTAATCAACTGATCCAGCACCATTACAATTTGGGAGGTATGATGTCCATTCTGTTGAAATACAATAATTATATTTAAACTAATTCAGTAATTTACTTAAAAATTAAAAAAATATATAATATTTGTTAAAGTTAACACGCAAATCGTTATATTTAATGACTACCACAGGACTAAAACTTAATATTAAGATGACCATTCTGTTGAATACAATAATTATATTTAAGATAATATTCGTGGAAACTAAACACGTAAATCGATATATTTAATAACTACCAGAAGATTAAAAATTACTATTATTACCTATACTTACTTTTTACGATAAACTTTATATTTTTCTTTCGCATCTCTAAATGGTTACCTCTCTGGGTTACCTTTTTTTAATCTTTACTTTCTTCCAGGATAATGTCTCTTACTCATTCACATTAAGAAACAGATATGGAAATGCAACTCCGAATGAAAAAATAGAAAAGATAAAACATAGTGAATATAAAAGAACTCAGAAACAATAAAAGAAAACATACAAAATAAAACAAAAAAGATGAAGAAAACAAGAGGATAAGAAGCAAGTTGGGCAAGTCTGCGATTCCTTGCATGCCCAGAACAGTCTATGACTTAGTCGAATGTTTAGGGACCGAAAGATTGCGGATTCGTCCTGCACGCCTCCGGGAATAATGACCAATAGCTAATAAGAACTCTCATAAGAGCAGTTATTAGCCGTTACCCAGGGTGTACCAGCTGGGCTATTACGTGACTGACGAGTTCCACGCGGACGTAACCACAAGGAAAAGTAGTCCAGCAGGGACAAAGCCAACGTCGAGGTTTCCCGGCTCCGCAGCCCAAATGCCTACAGTCCTATGTGCATTATTCAGTTTGGGCGAGTTGGAGCCTGCTATCAGGTACTGGGGCCCTTTTATTGACAGATTGATCTAGCAGCCACCGCTTTACGGGTTGTAGGTTCAATTCTCGAACAAAAAATACTTTGTTTTCTTGGCCTTTTTGATATTTGAACAGAACCGTACCTGCAAATGAAAAACAATATGGATATATAATTTTTTCTAGGTCTTTAGTATACGCGTAGGAATATGTATTAACACGCTACCTTAGGGGATAGAAGAGTTTTCGTACTTTAACTTTAACATGAGAAGCTCATATCAGATTTAAAGTACAGTACTTACTAGAATACTTGGTATGTATATGGAGAAGGATTTGTTAAATTTGATTTCATCCAGTGATAGGCTGGACCATGTATTCCAGTTGACATATGTCAATCCATACTAAACTATTTTACCGAAAAATCTAATCATCGCCACACTACTCTAACTGAAATTATTAAGTTAAATGTTTATTTTAATTTTAGGTTTGAAGACAACTTTAGAACTCTTGTATATTTACCTATTTAGTTATCAGTTATTGTAAATTACGAGCACTGTCGCTATACCCTAGATTGTTAGAGTAGAGTGGATATTAGAGTAAATAAATAAACAAACTTCTGTTTAAAATGGTACAGCGAATAAAATGAATAAAAAGTTCTTCATAATTAATTTTTATAACATATCACATACATATATTATAGGAAGCTTATACAATTAAATTACATAATCTCGATGACAAATACCTACAAAATCACATTTATTTACATACTTTAATGTTGTGCATATAGTGTAAATAACACAAATTACAAGGAACAATAGGTATACATCAAGAACAAACACAATTTATAGAATTATACTTTATTATGTTACATAAATACAAAAAAATATGTACGATACAGCTGCATATCCTTTTACAGATGACATCATACTAATGGTCGTATAAACTCATTTACATGAAAGAAATCATGTCCTTAAGGTCCTTTATTCTTTCATACAAAAACATTATTAATAAATCTTAATATTGTATATTGTGTACACTGGCTTAATGAAATGCCCTTTGCCGATTTAGGCGTTGCTTCATCTATCTGCTTTCAATAAATCTTTGAATTGTCCTTGGGCTTTGCGGGGAGATAACTCGCTGACGTTTTACTTTTTCTTAAGTGAGGTCTCGTATTCACTCGGCTGAAGTCACGAAAAAGGACACACAACACCAAATATAACAGAAATTGACAGAAAGATAAAATAACAGAGAAATACTAGCTAACAACAAGCTAAAACAAAACAACAGAATAATCAGTCATAGGGTAAATCAGAAATCATTCACATCCCAAGAGGAGTCGACTTTTGTCGAAACTGTAGCGAGCAAGCCATTCTTCCACCAAAGATCGCGGACTTCTCCTACCCGAAACACAACAAAACCGAACAATACAAAAATTAAAAAAGATAAAAGAATAGAGAGAGAATAACTAACATCACAACATACAAAGTAAAGCAGAGACGTAAATAAGCGAGCCCATCAAGGCAGCGATCTCTCATACACCTAGATAAGTCGACTTTTGTCAGTGGTTTAGGGAGAAAACCATTCCTCCTCTTAAGATCGCGGACTCGTCGAGCTCACGTCCAGGAATTGACCAACAGCTAACAAAAACTCTTATAAGAGCAGTTATTAAGCGTGGTCTAGGGTGCGGCATTACTAACCATTACTATTAAAATTGTTATTATTATCTATGCTTTTATACAATAAACTACTATAATTTTTCTCATTTTCCTTCTATAAGGCACCTTTGTTATCTTTTTCCAGACTCAGGTCTCGTACTCATTCATTTCAAGAAACGGAAAAGGAAACACAACACTGAATAAAACAAAAATATAACTAACATCGAAAGAGAAACGAACAAAAAATAAGTGAGCCAAGCAAGCCAGCAATCTTTCACTAAAAATACCCCAAAGTAGTCGACATTCGTCGAAGAATTAGGGATCAAATCATCCCTCTTCCTAAGATCGCTGACTTGTCCTACCGGTGTCCGGGAATTAGCTAACAGTCAATAACTGCTCACGTAAGAGTTCTTTATTAACTGTTACCCAGGGTGCACCAGCCCTGCCATCGCCTGACTGACGAGTTCCATGCGGACGTATCAACGAGGAAAAACAATCCTGCAATGACAAAGCCAACGTGGAGGTTTCCCAGCTTTGCACCCCACAATCTATGCCTCTAATGAAAAAGAATTTCATTTAAATTATAGCCATCCACTAGAGGCACAGAAATTACCTGCGGACATATTACACAGAACCTATTAACCAGTAATAGTCAATATACCATACCAGTAAAATCATTGCGTATTCATTTTTAACATTTCCTATACTTATAGGATGCTACCAAATTATCTGTATTCGCTTCTGAAGGACACGGTACTAGACGTAAATGTTATGATAATAATGAAATTTTGTGACTAATGTCACAAGTTAGTTATAAAAAAATATATGTAACAAAAGAAAATATTCCGTTTTATTGAAATTGGGCTTAAAACAAGATGTTGTGGCTTCGGTAGTCGGACAGTATACTTTGGTAAGTTATACAAGGAATCAATGAAACTTATTTTGCATTAGTGGTTAAGAAATGAAATTCCTTTATTATCGTAACATATGTAAATAACAATAAACCCTGTAGCTACATAGCAATGTATGTAACTAGATCTCACCTTTGTTGCTTTTGTTTGTTGTAACCTCACCCGTTCGTTCGATGCGCGTGAGCATCCTCTGCAGCCTTGATTTACTTCCAGTCCACAGAGTGGATGACCACTATCGGTATACTGCTAGCATGAATGCTCCGTTGGTGGTATAAACGACAGCAACTCTGTATATATTACTAATAATATAATAGCCATGTATCCGAAACAAAATGTTGCATATAACACAATCACTATTATTAAAATCTTTTCACTAAGTCCTTAAGGGATCAAACACAACCAATACCCATTAATTTTGGCATTCACATGACATTTCTTATACTCTCTTCCTTATCTTCTTTCTTATTATACACGCACAACCAACTATTCTTTATATATATTTCTTACCTTTTTACCAAATATTGGCCTCGGATTTGTTGGAAAAGTGGTGTTACAATAATGATATCAATCAGTTAGGATAAGAACTCACCTCTGTCACACGTGTGCACGTATGCACGTGTCACAGCCGTATAACTCGATTCCCGGTTGTATTAGTTTGTGTTTCTTCAGTGAAGTGTTTGTAATAAATCTCGCGTCACACTGCTATCAGCCTATATACCTCCTCCTAAATATACGGATGTGCGCGGTGCCACTGTGGGTGGTCATGTGAGATGTTAGCTGTTAATTCACATCAAGAAACGAAAAAGGAAACACAAGACCGAACGAAACAATTAGACAGAAAAGATAAAAGAATAGCTAACATTAGAACAAAAAATGAAAGATAAACGAAGAAAAAAAAACAAGGGGAAAACAAGCGAGCCGAGCAAGCCAGCGATCTCTCAGATACCTAGAGAAGTCGACTTTTGTCGGGGGTTTAGGGAGCAAACCATCCCTACTCCTGAGATCGCTGACTTGTCCTGCTGGTGTCCGGGAATTCGCTAACAGTTAATAATTGCTCACGTGAGAGTTCTTTATTAACTGCTACCCAGGGTGCACCAGCCCTGCCATTGCCCGATTGACGAGTTACAATACTGCAATGACAAAGCCAACGTGGAGGTTTCCCAGCTCCGCACCCCACAATCTGTGCCTCTAATGAAAAAGAACTTCATTTAAAATTCCTACTTTTGAGGAGTCGTTATTTTACGTGGTTGCTAACTTTGTGGTTTTAAAGAAATCAAGTAACCGTAAAAAGAAATAGGCTATAACTGGAACTGTGGCCTTTCCCACTAGAGGCACAGAAATTACCTGCAGATATATTACCTGAATATTACCATATTACCATAGAACCTGTTTACCATTAATACACTACACTACATTGACAGACCAAAGTGACTCTTAATCAAAGAACCGCCTATTAATAGACGTATTTAGTGAAAGTTTTTATAAATAAATTAAATTTCCATTAGCTACATCATAGTAGCATTTATTCGAAGTAAAATAATAAAAAAAACTTCTGTTTAGAGTTAAGTTAATTTAATAAAAGACAACATTCACGAAACGTACTTTATACTTAATGTTTATAATATACGTACGGATATGCCAAGCTTATACAATTCAATCATCTAAACTCTACAACAAATACATGCAAAACGACATTTATTTATCGCTACAGAGACACCTGAAATTGGATACATTTGAAGTACATTGCAGATAATAGTCAGAAACTAACAACATTCAATTAATTATATTTTAATATGTTAAACAAAGATAAACACAGTAATAAGAAGGACACTGCTAATTTTAGAAATATATAGGTTGCTACCAAATTATCAGTAAAACAAAGTCATTTATTGTTCCATACAAAAACATCCTTAAAAATGTTACAATTTTGCCACTTTGTTTAAATTGGCCTTTATAAATATACATTGCCGCTTTAAGTATTGTTTTATCTGACTTTCTTTTTAAATAAAGACCTATTCATATGCATTGAGGAAATTTTGATATACATAATTATTACCATTTTTTTATAATAATTTTTGTAACAATAAAAGGTAGCACCTTATGTAAAATAATAATAATAACCAGAAATTGATTCACTCTTTCAACTATGCACCCCTCGATGTAGAGACACGAATGGGCCGATTGCTTCAAAAGACCCCCCTTGCCGTGATGAGACTGTTTCACTCGGCTGTAACTGCTGGCGGTGCAGCAGTAGCCGCTAAAAATAAAGTGCTCAATGCAGTAGTGTACAAGTGAGAGCGCGGAATAATTAATAATAGAATCTAACTCATCAAATTATCTCTATACCAATAAAAAAGACAATATTCCGTTTTGTTTAAATAGGGCTTAAAGCAAGATGTTGTGGCTTCGGTAGTCGGATAGTATACTTTGGTAAGTTATACATAGCATCATTGAACCTTATTTTGCCTTAGTATAGTAGGTAAGAAATGAAATTCGTTTATTATCGTAACATAATATGTAAGTAACAGTAAACCTTGTAGCTACATAGCAATATATGTGTAACTAGACAGCACGTTATATTATATGAGGAGTGACGTCCGCTCACCTTTGTTTCTTGTGTCCGCCGTCGTCGCCGCGTCCGTCGGCCCGCGACCTCACCCGTTCGTTCGATGCGCATGAGCATCCTCCGCAGCCTTGATTTACTTCCAGTCCTCAGAGTGGATGACCACTATCGGTTTACTGCTGGCATGAATGCACCGTTGGTGGTATAAACGACAGCAACTCTGTATATATTGATAATAATATAATAGCCATGTATCCGAAAAAAAATGTTGCATATAATACAATCACTATTATGAAAATCTTTTCACTAAGTCTTGGCTCCTTAAGGGATCAAACACAACCAATACCCATTAATTTTGGCATTCACATGAGATTTCTTGTCGAAAATTTCGCACAACACCAACTATATTCTTTATATATATTTATTCCCTTTTTACCAGATATCGGCCTCGGATTTGTTGGAAAAGTGTTGTTACAATAATGATATCAATCAGTTAGGATAAGAACTCACCTCTGTCTCACGTGTGCACGTATGCACGTGTCACAGCCGTATAACTCGATTCCCGGTTGTATTAGTTTGTGTTTCTTCAGTGAAGTGTTTGTAATAAATCTCGCGTCACACTGCTATCAGCCTATATACCTCCTCCTAAATATACGGATGTGCGCGGTGCCAGTGTGGGTGGTCATGTGAGATGTTAGCTGCCCTGAAAAATGAATTGTAAATGTCATATCCACTTACTCAACTGACACGTAAATTGATAATTTTAGTCACTATGAAATTAATATTTCTTATTACCTATACTTACTTTTTTACGACCAACTCCTATAATTTTGTTCTTAATGCTTTTCTCTTTGAATTCTCCTCCCGCTTTGCAGAAAGTACCACTCTGGCTTTTCTTCCTTTCTTAACGGGTGAGGTCTCATACTAATTCACACCAAGAAACGAAAATGGAAACACAACACCGAACGAAACAATTAGACAGAATAGATAACATTAGAACAAAAAATGAAGGATAAACGAAGAAAAAAAAAACAAGGGGAAAACAAGCGAGCCGAGCAAGCCAGCGATCTCTCAGATACCTAGAGAAGTCGACTTTTGTCGGGGGTTTAGGGAGCAAACCATCCCTACTCCTGAGATCGCTGACTTGTCCTGCTGGTGTCCGGGAATTCGCTAACAGTTAATAATTGCTCACGTGAGAGTTCTTTATTAACTGCTACCCAGGGTGCACCAGCCCTGCCATTGCCCGATTGACGAGTTACAATACTGCAATGACAAAGCCAACGTGGAGGTTTCCCAGCTCCGCACCCCACAATCTGTGCCTCTAATGAAAAAGAACTTCATTTAAAATTCCTACTTTTGAGGAGTCGTTATTTTACGTGGTTGCTAACTTTGTGGTTTTAAAGAAATCAAGTAACCGTAAAAAGAAATAGGCTATAACTGGAACTGTGGCCTTTCCCACTAGAGGCACAGAAATTACCTGTAGATATATTACCCGAATATTACCATATTACCATAGAACCTGTTTACCATTAATACACTACACTACATTGACAGACCAATGTGACTCTTAATCAAAGAACCGCCTATTAATAGACGTATTTAGTGAAAGTTTTTATAAATAAATTAAATTTCCATTAGCTACATCATAGTAGCATTTATTCGAAGTAAAATAATAAAAAAACTTCTGTTTAGAGTTAAGTTAATTTAATAAAAGACAACATTCACGAAACGTACTTTATACTTAATGTTTATAATATACGTACGGATATGCCAAGCTTATACAATTCAATCACCTAAACTCTACAACAAATACATGCAAAACGACATTTATTTATCGCTACAGAGACACCTGAAATTGGATACATTTGAAGTACATTGCAGATAATAGTCAGAAACTAACAACATTCAATTAATTATATTTTAATATGTTAAACAAATATAAACATAGTAAGAAGAAGGACACTGCTAATTTTAGAAATATATAGGTTGCTACCAAATTATCAGCAAAACAAAGTCATTTATTGTTCCATACAAAAACATCCTTAAAAATGTTACAATTTTGCCACTTTGTTTAAATTGGCCTTTATAAATATCCATTGCCGCTTTAAGTATTGTTTTATCTGACTTTCTTTTTAAATAAAGACCTATTCATATGCATTGAGGAAATTTTGATATACATAAATATTACCACTTTTTTATAATCATTTTTGTAACAATAAAAGGTAGCACCTTATGTAAAATAATAATAATAACCAGAAATTGATTCACTCTTTCAACTATGCACCCCTCGATGTAGAGACACGAATGGGCCGATTGCTTCAAAAGACCCCCCTTGCCGTGATGAGACTGTTTCACTCGGCTGTAACTGCTGGCGGTGCAGCAGTAGCCGCTAAAAATAAAGTGCTCAATGCAGTAGTGTACAAGTGAGAGCGCGGAATAATTAATAATAGAATCTAACTCACCAAATTATCTCTATACCAATAAAAAAGACAATGTTCCGTTTTGTTTAAATAGGGCTTAAAGCAAGATGTTGTGGCTTCGGTAGCCGGACAGTATACTTTGGTAAGTTATACATAGCATCATTGAACCTTATTTTGCCTTAGTATAGTAGGTAAGAAATGAAATTCGTTTATTATCGTAACATAATATGTAAGTAACAGAAAACCTTGTAGCTACATAGCAATATATGTGTAACTAGACAGCACGTTATATTATATGAGGAGTGACGTCCGCTCACCTTTGTTTCTTGTGTCCGCCGTCGTCGCCGCGTCCGTCGGCCCGCGACCTCACCCGTTCGTTCGATGCGCATGAGCATCCTCCGCAGCCTTGATTTACTTCCAGTCCTCAGAGTGGATGACCACTATCGGTTTACTGCTGGCATGAATGCACCGTTGGTGGTATAAACGACAGCAACTCTGTATATATTGATAATAATATAATAGCCATGTATCCGAAAAAAAATGTTGCATATAACACAATCGCTATTATGAAAATCTTTTCACTAAGTCTTGGCTCCTTAAGGGATCAAACACATCCAATACCCATTAATTTTGGCATTCACATGAGATTTCATGTCAAAAATTTCGCACAACACCAACTATATTCTTTATATATATTTATTCCCTTTTTACCAGATATCGGCCTCGGATTTGTTGGAAAAGTGTTGTTACAATAATGATATCAATCAGTTAGGATAAGAACTCACCTCTGTCACACGTGTGCACGTATGCACGTGTCACAGCCGTATAACTCGATTCCCGGTTGTATTAGTTTGTGTTTCTTCAGTGAAGTGTTTGTAATAAATCTCGCGTCACACTGCTATCAGCCTATATACCTCCTCCTAAATATACGGATGTGCGCGGTGCCAGTGTGGGTGGTCATGTGAGATGTTAGCTGCCCTGAAAAATGAATTGTAAATGTCATATCCACTTACTCAACTGACACGTAAATTGATAATTTTAGTCACTATGAAATTAATATTTCTTATTATCTATACTTACTTTTTTACGACCAACTCCTATAATTTTGTTCTTAATGCTTTTCTCTTTGAATTCTCCTCCCGCTTTGCAGAAAGTACCACTCTGGCTTTTGTTCCTTTCTTAACGG